AAACCAAACCCTTCATGAAGGACTTTCTAAGGGAACTTGAACCCATGTGTGTATTGAACCCATAAACCCATGTGTGTATTGAACCCATAAACCCATGTGTGTATTGAACCCATGAACCCATGCGTAATTTCCCCAATGTTGTGTATTCATTGTTGTTGTTGTTGGAAATCAACGAAAATCAACAATGCAGTCAGTTCGTTCGCCTGAGTTCGAACTCGTACCGAACTACAAGTATTCAGGAATTACAAGCAACTAACAAGGTCTAAATACAAGCAACTACAAGGTCTTAAACAAGAAACTACAGCAGCGAACTTAAAGCAAGGGTCTCACAATACTCGGCCACTAATTAGCTTTTTCGGCAGAACTACTTCCTAAATTGTATTTAGTTCGGTGAACTTTAAAAGTTGAATTATAATAAACATAATATTAAAATAATTTAAACTTCCAGTGGTTGCTTAATTAAAAAGCAAACTGTTATGTATTTACTATGTTATATATTTACTGGTATCTTTGGAAATAAAAAATGATGTAATAGAAACTAATCAATAGAGAAATTTATGCAAAATATAATCTTCATCTCAATTTCGTTACATTTTTGTGATTACCAAGTGACAAACCGTCAAATGAATTTCCTGTTGATGAATTTTCTTAAGTAACGGTTACTGGGACCTGTAAGAACTGTAAAAATAGAAGTCCCTGCTTTTTTTTGACCAGGTGGGGGTGGGGGTGGGTCTGAAGACTGGTCGGTGTCGATGCTGGTGTTCTCCCAGAATTCATACATTTGCAGAGACACGATATCAAACTGAGTAGTAAAAGCACTGTGGAATTCTGCCTTCGCATAAGTCATTCTGATTGTTCAGTGCAATACTCAGTGAATGAGCAGCGTAGGGCCTAAAAAAATCTATCTTTCTCTAGAATGTCGTACTCCAAGATTTCTGCGAAATTTGATTGGTTATTTCTTAAAGTTCACTTATATAAAATCTTCCATTAATCGTGTGGTAAAATCTTCCATTAATCCGCTTGGTGAAATCTTTAATTGAAAATTGTTTTAAAAATGAGTGCAGGCTTCTGTTTCATTTCTTTTTTTTTTTTCTTTTTAATATTTGTAAATCCCGGGAATTTAAACCAAAAATTAAAGCTGTGTATCAAAATTAAAAGGAATGTTCTAATTATTAGCCCACAAAGCGTTAGCCCAGAAGGGCTATTAATTTCATTTTGGCATTTTGCATTGATTCACTATAAATTCGGTTCACTTTCAAAGTGTTGCCACCAAATATTAGAACCCTGCGTATTTAAAGAAATAAAATAATGAAGATCTGCATAAATGTATAGGTATGTTTCTCGCACTGTGAAAAAAAACAATGGTTCGTAGAGGACATCCAAATTTTGAATAACGTAGTCCTCCACTCGAGTATAGGCATCTGGTAGCCTGAACTTGGAATTTGTTTGATTATCGATTTCATATTTTGTAAAACTTTAACGAAGTTTTTAATTAACAAACTCAATGATTTTAAATCGAACAATGCAACACTGTACGAAAAAAAAAAAAAAAAAAAAAAGGGGAATTGTATCTTCAGCGCGCGAGACTGTGTATCGGAAATTCTAAAGATATGCTTCTTTTTACATTATTTTGTGATATTGCTGTTGAATTGAATTTCATAGTTTAAATGCGAAGAACAGGATATTTAATAAATAAAGGTAACGCACAAAACGTTAAAAAAAATTTTAAAAAAGGCCCCTTTGAGCGTAATATAAAATCTGTGAGCTCTCAGATTTTTTTTAAAATTTACTTTACTATCAAAAATCATATTTAAGCCAGCGATGTGGGCAGAGAAGCAAGCTTCCGCCCTCCCCCCCCCCCAGTGGTTTGGCTGGTGGCTTGGCAAATGCGGTCAAGAGCAGGAGACTGACGTTAATTACGGAAGGGGAAAGTAAACGACTGTGTCAGGGATCATAAGGGAATATTTAAAAAAAAAGTGTTTTTAGGTCTCATTCAGTATCAGTATATCAGAAATAAATGATGCACATGGTATCAATGGAGACAAATACATACGATACGAAAAGTTTTATTATTTGTTTATTAACATTTCAATTACATTGTTTTCGTTCAGGAATTTCTTCCACCCCCTCTGAGCAATACATACAGGTAAATGTAAGTCGGCTGAAAGCACTGCTATAAACAAATAATCCACCCAATTCCAGTTGAACTGCGCTTATTAATACTAATTGTGTACGGAAGCATCTAGTTTTGAAAAGCTTCGTATCATCTAACATAAAATTAATTAATTAATCATCTTAAAATTATTTTGTGTTGATATGGCAAAACATATGAGGGTTGGCTAGGCATGATTTCATGGAGAATTTTCTAAGGAAAATGGGCTCATATTTACATACCTTAAGGAAATCCACGAAAAGCTTACACAAAGTGGTACGTTGCAGTAGGGTTCTGCAATCCATCTGTTAAATTTGCATCTAATTGTCAAGTGCTCATTTTTTTTGGCTATTTATACATTCAAAGGAAAACTACAAGTTACTCACTGACTTCGCACGTTAGTGAATAACCTTTTAAACCCGATGAACAGTATATTCTGTGACAAGGCGGCTTTCTGACTGTACAATTGTTTTACATTTAGCGAGCTTGTGCTGAATAAGTTTATTCGATTTTATGTATTTCTGCATATTTTGTAATTCTTTTATTTTTTTTTTTCATGTCCTGTGTCGACCACTTTAGTTCAGTGATCCGTATTAATGTGCGCTTTTTTTAAAAAATTTAAATGCTTCAGAATAATTAATTAGAAAAGGGCATAATTCTCTTCTTATCCTTAAATTCTCAATAAAAAAACTGCATTTCAGCTATAATTAAGTAAAATAATTTTCTAATATAATTCAAAGCATGAAAAATAAGGTACAAAACAGTTGGAATGGAACTAGCATTGAGATTCTCTTTAAAAAATATCGCGAAGCTTACAAAAAGTCTACGAAGTGAAGTAATTCCGTAGACTATTTTTATGTTTATGATTAAATTCCACTGAATTATACTTTATAAAAGACATGTAAATATGATTTAATGTATATTTGTGGATGTGTGTGTGGCAATTAGCCGGCTGAGCGGTAAAATCGTTGAATGCTGGTAGGTCGATCCGGGGTTCGAATCCCGGTAAACGGGTTGGCTGTATTTGCGTTTTTGTGGTTTTCCCCATGTGTAACGTGCATACGAGTCAGTTTTTGTTTAGAAAGCTCTCCATAAGGCATCCTTACCCTTAGGCAAATAGCCGTCGAATGCTTGCTATAATCAAAAACCAGACCAAACAATAGATATATAAATAAGTAGCTTAAATACTGCTATTTTATGTTATCGTTAGTAGTATTTCAATATATATAATGATTAAAGAAAGAAAGGTCGGATCCTAACTGATTGTATATAATGTAATCCCTATGAGGCCCTAACAATTCTTTTTCTTAAGTGTAACCAAAAGAGAACAAATTAAACTTCAGATACGTATACAATACTGAATCTAATACAAAAAAACAAATATAAAAATAAATTATATATGTACGAAACCTAACTAACTATTTATATTGATATTACGTAATAGACGTATGGTAATGAACATTGTATAATAAAGATATTTTATACCTTTTGGTTATATTTTGGTTCCATTTATATTTAGTTCCATTTATATATACCTATAAAAATATTATATAATTAAGGATTTCCGTAAGGATTATAGTAGTTAATACTATAAAACACAAAAGTGCATCAATATGTATTTCTCAGTATTATTTAACTTCATTCTTATGAATTTTCTGCAGTCTAGTTTGCGTTATTTATTCATAAGTCTCAATAAAAACAATTATTGTTTATATGCCATTAGAAAATTAACCAAAAAGCAGCGACCAGAATGTAATTGAGAAACATTCCTTAGCCGTTGAAAAGGTTGAAAGCATTCGGTTATGACTATTATCTCATACTCAGCTACTTCGCATACATGGAACATAGCATTCGAAATGAAAAACTCAATATTTACAAATTCATTCGTGTAACAAAATCTGTCTTTCTACACCTATGGCTTTAAAAAAGATGTTATTTATCTTACAGTTTATCGTTAAGTAATACATTTTCATTGTACAAAATTGCATTCATTCGAAGAATTCAATTGTATTTTCCTCTTTATAAACTGAATGTAGAGAAGTTAGATGTTTTAAACAACCCCCACAATTTCTTAAGATCCCGAGCGAGATTTTCCGCTCCTTGTCTGCTCTTCCCCTGAAAAAAGGGATTGTAAATTTACGACCTGACCGCATATAAGGGTATTTCGTTTGGCTTACTCACCTGGCCTGGTCTATCCTCATACGACATCATTTCCAGCATTCCGGGCTTCTTTGCGTTTGAAAGGGTGGCTCATCACTTTGCAAATACCTGGTGGGCAACCTTTTAAACTCATAGAACACTCTGGAACAAAATATTTCAATGGGGAAATTTAATTTTCTGGAACAAAACATTTAGCACGAGCTGAGAATTTTAGAGTAGTTAAAAAATAACGTTTAGAATAATTAAAAGAAAAATCATCGGAATTTACTTTTAACCATTCAGTTTATTAGTGAAGGTCTAGGTTATCGTACGTTTCTCAGCTTTTGTTTATAAGAGAAAGAATCATTTTCATAGGAAAGAAGTAATAAGAGAATTTTGCTAAATTTAACTCCTACGAGTTAAAAAAAGAGAATCAAAATAAACACAAGGAACTAATTCCGTCTACAGCTGAAGCAGAATGTAGTCTTTTCTCTCAAAAATAGCAACGCGGTATCCTTCCTAATTATTGCAATAAATTGCCACCAAAAAATAAAAGAAGCAAAAGTGAGGGCGCTGTCGGAAGTTGGGATGCAATAACAAAACAGCGATAAACCGCCAAATCGAGTGTACACCATTTTATCACCTGACAACATGGCGGCCAGGGATATCCTTCAACCGCGATTTGGCGGGTGTTCCATGACGTCAGCGCTCAAGGTTGTACACAGTTCGTCGTAGACGGAGTATCTGGAAGGATGGGCTGTATTTTTTTGAATTTGTTTGTAATTTAGATGTACCATCGAAGCTTAATCTTCCAATTATTCGCTATTAACAGTGAGTAGATCGATTGTTTACATTCGTGTGATCGTCTCGTTTGGACCCAATGTTTGGCTCTGTGACCCGCGAGTGGAGGGATTTTCCCTGTTGGATTTGCGAGCTGGGCTGAAAACAGGGAGAGACCGTCGGAATTCTCCTAGCTGCGGTGACTATGCCACGTAGAAAACAAGGCCATAGCAAAGAGAGTGGTGAGTTGCTTTCATTGAGCTTTGCATGCTTGCCCGAATTCGCGCATTTACGATCGCGAAAGTCTGGCGTTATCTGTGTTATTTCTCTTTCTTGTTTTGATCCCTTTCCTCCCCCATCTACATATAGATATTCGAATTTCACCCCTTCAGTGTATTTGATGTGACAGAATTTCACATGATGATTATGAATAAACAGCAGTATTTCTTTTGAAGTAAACTGTAATTCGTAATTATCGATTATATATATATATAAATTATTTTGAAGCCAATCTATGAAGAATTCTTCTGTACGTGACGAATTTATAAATAAACGGAATGAAAGATTATGAATGAAAGATCTTGTTCCAATTTATAAATTAAGAATTCATGTTTGTAACATGTTACATGTAAACTTAATTTAATTAGGTTTTTTTTTATACTTGGATACTGTTAAATATAATTTATTAATTATTAATCGTAGTTTAATTACTCTGTTTGAAAGAAATAATGCTTTCACATGCAGCTGTTATTATTTGCTTAGGAATACTTAAAAATTCGAGTGTTTAAATTTCTGTATTAATTTTTATGTACATTTGTGATGCGTTGATGCCCTTTCTAGTAGTAATAATGAATGATATAGTCATCTGTGTGTACTTTGTTGCATTATGTTCTGTATGTATAGTGATTATGTATGAAACCAAAAACAACAATTTTGTTTATATTGAATTGGGAAAGACATCTAGTTCATATAAAATTTTGCTAGTTTACTTCAACCAATTTATGTAATAAATGAATTAGATGGATTTTTTTTTTTTTTTTTTTCCTTCTGGTTTTGTTTGTCAAAAAAGTGATTAATGAAAGGATAGATTTATTTTGATAAAATTATGTCAACAACTTTTCTTTACTTAAATACATAACTTGTATTTTTTGTAAAGCCTCCCCCCCGGCAGTACAGGAAAAAAAAAAAAAAAACTGTTTTGATATCAAGAAAGGGGTAATTTTTATCGATTTTAGCTCTGGAACGGTGGATAGGGAATTATTTTATTAACTGTTTATTTGAAGTATACAGGGTAAAATTCTAGTATACGGAGCAGCCTTGGCGCGATTTTGAAAATTATCGCATCACCGGATACTAGGATTAGTATTATTAGTTTGGGTTAATTAGCTGTTTAAAATACTTATTCTAAACATGCTGTAACTCAGTCAATTTGTAATTAAATGCGCTATGGACGGATAAAAAAAATTATCTATTTTAAAAAAGGATTAAAAGTTGGTCATATAATTCGCACGTCAGTTATTGAATTAATTATTATGGAGAAAGAATTTATTTACCAAAATAAAGTCCTAAGATGTAGGGTAATGATAGGTTTAAGAAATTATCCTCGCGTGCTTTTCTATCGCTGCCAAAGAATCTTTTCTCAGAAAACTGATGAAATACGAATTTCAGATAATTTGTCTTATAATATATATACTGTATATAAAGCGATTTTATATACAATAAATATGGAAGGTGCAAAAAAATTTCTTAAACATGAAAACGAAAGTCTGTGATCTTGTTCAAGCACTTTTCATGTATAAAAATATCAATAGGAGATTAAAATTATTAAAAATCAGAACTGTGGAAATAATACCTAATTTTCTTATTAATATCTCACCAAATTAAAATTTTTGCTGTTTTCATTCTTATGAGCATTTTAATTTAAATGTATATAACTTATTTTGATTAATTACAGATCTATATTTGAATTCCTACGCTTTTGTATCTTGTACCCTTTAGATTCATTCATTTATTCTTGCCGTCAGTGGATTCAAATACGCGTTTTAATATTGTAATGAACAATATGGGTTCGGTTAAGGTGAACTATTTATTGCTTGTTTTCTAGAATTTTTAAAAACAGACTGTTTTTATGTCAAGAAATGATAATCATTGAAATGGCAGAAAGATTAAAATGTTTTCTAATCGTGAAAGAAGCTGAATAAATATTTATTGTTTATTTCATGTTAATTTCGGTAATTTGGATTTAAATTGTTTAATTTCAGAATTGTATATTCATAATGAGCATCCCAATTTTAAAAATTAGGCAAAGTTTACTTATAAGTGGGCGTATATGAAATTTAAAAGGCCAAGTGTCTTACAAAAGATTTGACCTGGGTTTCTCATCTGCTTCTGATGAGGCGATACTCAGTTGTTTAAAATCAAGCGCCATTAAATTTGAATTTTGACTAATTTAAAAGAAGAGAGAATATAAATCAGTTTGATAGAAGTATAGTACTTGATTGAAATGACGTTATAATTATGCTTGTGCTATACATATGCATCATACCAGAATTTTGCTGTGAATAAATTGATTTTACTGCTGATTCTTTATTTTTCATTGATACTTGTAGCATAATTTAATTAGATAACATCTTTAAAATAAAAATCAATCATTTACTGACTATTTTTACGCATAGTCGCTTGAGATCTCAAATTTTATTCTCCAAGATAGGTTTAAATTTGAGTAACATTTTCACGTGAAATAAAAATTGCATGTGATTCTTTTGAGTCATGTTTACGTCTGGAATGCGCAATATGATGCGTTAAAGAACCCGGAACCCTTTGCAAACTTGATTTTTTTATTTTTTATTTTAGAGAAATATTTGAGCAGTAATTGTTTTGCCGACCTTTCACTTCTGTCTTGCCTCGTTGACGTCAGAACTTCATAACAGATTCTATGGTTGCCACATCGTACGAGTTCTTTTGCACTATTTTTATGTTCTTACACTGATATAGTGATTTTCAGAATGATAAAATTCTGTCTGCCATATGGTAATAAGTATGATTGGCGATCTTTCGTGAAATCTGATGGGAGGCATCTCGTGTTTCATCAAAACATGAACTGCAATATTAAAAAAAAAAAAAAAAAAAAAAAAAAAAAAAAGATGTGATAGATTAGTAATCTTCATGCCTTTGCAGTGATTTTTTCAATAGCCCGTTACATTTTGGAACAAGATTTTTTTTTTAATTGTATAGTAGTTCTAAATTTAGTTATTACTTTATTGGTGATAAAATAAGCAGTTCAGGATTTTATATAATGTAAGTTTCAGATGATTAATAATTGCTTTTTTCTTTTTGGCGACTACGTAACTAAAGTGCAGTATTGCTAAAAGAGTTTTACGCTTTCTCTGTACCCCTTTTCCGCCTAGTGTGATGATTCAAAATACAGGGTGTTTATGAAGTCCCGGACCCATTTTGATGTTTAATAACTCATAAAATGATCAAGATATAAACAAACTTATGGCATTTATTGATGGGATAACTTATATATTTTCCTTTTCAGGTTTGAATATCTTTACCTTTGTAAATATCGTCTGCGCGTGTGGTTAAATTTCAGATAATTTCATTTTCCTGTCTAAATATCTGTACTTCTCTAAATATCGTCTGCTTATTAATTGCATTTTTCTCTCTTTTGTTTTTGGCAACTATTGCAATGTTATGGACTTTTTCCTTTGGGAATTTGTAAAGGACAACGTTTACAACAGGAGGAGAGTGTCGGACATTGATGACTTAAAAGCTAGAATTACAACCGCAGCCGACATGCTTGCCGGTACCTGGCGTGAAATTGAATTTCTCTGTGGAACGAAGGGGTCACATGTGGAAATTTATTGCTAAGGGTCATGAAACTTTTTGAGTCTGTCTAACTATTTATGTCATTAATTTTAATCTATCTTTATTATTTTATGAGATATTAAACATCAAAATGGGTCCGGGACTTTATAAACACCCTGTATAATGCTTAACATTTGGTGGCAACAGTTTAAAAAGTGAAACAGACATTTATAGTGAAGCAACGCAAAATCGCAAAACGAAAACAGTGCTTCAGGGACAAAGGACTAAAAAAAGACTTTGGACTAAAAAAAGGAAAGAAAGCAAACGAAATGGTGAAATTTTCTGCGATGCTGAATTTAATATTGTGTAATAGCTTTTGGGTTAATAGAACTAAGACGCTTATAATTAGAATAAAAATGAATTTTTGCAAGATTAAATGACACTGATGAATAAAACGGCCATTATTCAGATTTCTATCGCTATTGAAATTCAGCGTACGATTCAGTGCATTGTATTGTTTTTGAGCAAGTGTATTGTTTTTGTACCAATCAGTCTGCCCAACACTTGCTGTTCTACTTTTCTCATAATAATAGTTGCAATTAAATAATTCTGGGAAATATATATCATTTAATGCAGAAGCTAAATTTTTCACTGTATGTTCTGATTAACCCTACCCTCATGAAAAGTTGCCAGTTTTTTGGCTACTTTATGGATCAGCGACAAATCTTTGGTTGTGTTTACGGCTCAGAGGTAATGTTAATAATAATAATAATAATCAATAATCATTTTTAGGAGGGAACACATCTTTTTTTTAATAATTTTTTTTGTTATTAAAACCTTAGAAAAACGTAATTGTTTGTTTCCTCATAGTGGTTTTAAAATAATTTTATATGTAGTTTTAATAATAGTTATCAACAAGAGTTATTTTATACCATTTGTGTAATAAATAAACGACTGTACGATATAATACGTCGATTCCAAAATTTCTGTTGTTCTTTACACATTCTTGTGTCCATAGAAAATAAAATCTGATTTCACCAGAGACCGAGTGGATAAGACCACTTAATTTTGGATGGACTTGTCTTCAAATCTTGGCAAACAAGATGACTTCATAATGTCTTCGTGATTTTTTTTCATGTGAAACGCGAAATACGACTAGCAAATATTCCTTCTAATGTCCTTTCTGACGGCCTTAAGGAAAACATTACCTTTGTTTTGCTGTAATCTAAGTACACAACCCACCCCCCCGAAGAAAAGTAATAATAAAACATTTTCTGGTCATACATGAATTGTTAAGATTTATCTGTTTGGTTTTTAAGTTTATTCGAACGGAAGGTTTTTTTTTTTTTTTTTTTTAATGAGGTCGAAAAAGCGTTTAGTGTGATTTTGTGAGTGAAAATATGCGTACGATTTTTGAAAATATCGGAAACTG